TCTTGTACTGCCAGCTATTTTCTTTATCAGTACTGCTACCTTTTAGGTCTCGGTCAACATGGATTCAGCAGCCAATTTTGATCTTGGTCTCATTTGGAGTTCTCACTTGAACTATGGTTGTCCAGTGTCAAAGCTTAAAGGCCAAAGCTATTTAATGTTGGATTATTATTAGCAATGAAATGCTTGTTTGGTTCTTCTATTTTTTTTTCCCTGTTTGCTTTTGGGAAATGCTCTATTTGTAAAAAAAAAAGTTTTTTATATAGTTTCTTTTGTGATTAGAGTTTGCTTTTGGTGAGGATTCAATTTTTACATTTTGTTAATTTAAATCCATTGAATGTTTGTGTAGCTTTCATGAAATAGGGAATGGAGATATACAACAATGTCATTGGTGGAAATGTTGGAAATAGTAAATATTCTATTTGAATTTGTATATTTGTCTAATTTTGACTAATTATATTAGATAATTCTGTCACCTAGTAGAGTGTAATATTGAGTTTAGACTTTTGCTGATCATTGAAGATTATGTTTGTTATAGCTTTAACGAAATTGGCTATGGGAATATAAAGAACAATTCACAGATGGTCTTAAATCTAGAAGATGATGTACCTCTTTAAGTGGGGGAACAATATTGACATATCTTCTTGTATTCCTCCGTAGGCATCTAGGCAGAATAGTGGGAGTTCCTTGAAAAAGCCCACAGCTTAAAGTCCTATTGCAATTGGTAGGAAAAAAATGTACTATGGGTTTCTAATTGTCCATTTCAATTACTGTACCCTCGGCTTGCTTTCTAGATTCTACTTTGGAATTTAGGTCTTTGCTAGAATTCATAATTTGTTCTTCAACTTGCTTTATTTGTATATATAGCACTTCCTAAAGGCATCTGGGCAATGAGAGAACTATTTGAAGTTTTTACTATATATTGTGGTAAGGATAATAGTGGGGATATTTGCTTGAAAAAGTCAGTAGCTTTAAATCCTAACTGCAATATGGCTGGAAAAATTTGTAATTTCAGTTTCGTACCTTGGCTTGCTTGCTATGATTTTGAACTTTGGGATTTCAGTTTTTGCTAGAATTATTTTTTGTCCAACTGCTTATTATTATATATCGCTTCATAAAGGCATCTAGGCAATGAGAGAATCATTTGAAGTTTTTTGTGAATATTGTGGTAAGGATAATAGTGGGAGTTGCTTGAAAAAGCCAGTGGCTTTAAAGTCCTACCGCAATATGGTAGGAAAAAATTGTAACTATGGGTTTTTTAATTGCTCCTTTCATTTTCTGTACCCTGGCTGGTTTCTTAGATTTTCTAGTTGGAATTTAAGTTTTTGCTAGAATTCATAATTTTTCTTCAACTTGCTTTATTTATAATATCAATTCATAAACCTAAGTGAGTTTGCTTCACTGTCTGAATTCTCTATATAAAAGGGACAGATTGTAGAGAAATTTTGTGAATGAATAAACACTATTTTCCACAGTTTAGTATCTTGATAGAGAAATGAGTTGCAGTGAATCGTGCAACGAGCAAAACAAACTAGAAATTTGATTTGATTTTTTGGTTTTTTTTGTGCACAGGTGCATAGTGGCAAGAAAATTGGGATAAAACATTTTTATTATTTGTTTTGACTTCTCTATTGACAAAAGATTAATTTCCTTTTCTTGTTATTGGACTTTTTATTATTGAAATCATATCTACTTTAGTTATCGGTCTTTGTCTTTTTGCAGGAATTGTTGGCCATATTAGTTTAATTGCTAGTTGATTTCTTTATTTTTTATCAGTTCTTGAAATTATATATGCTTGTAAACAATGCTTCCAAGCTGTCATGCATTCTAGTGAAAAGTATGTGTTAATTTTGTGACACAATGTCTTATGAATTGTTTTTTTTTTTTTTTTTTTTTTTTTTTTTTTTTTTAAAATTGATGGATTTAAGTTGTGCATGGTTCTAGAAGCAGCCCAAGCTTGTGATTAATGTGGGAGTATGGTTGATATATGGCTTCTATGTTGAGAGTCTAATGACTAGTATGTGTGGTGAAGATGGTTTACTAGTCTAGAAGTAGTTTATTTTTTATTTCATTAGTGTAGTGTCTGTTTATCTCATTGATTCTCTTCTTGTCAACTCTTTGAAATTGACTACTAAAAAATTATTATGGAGTCCTTATGTGACTTTTTCGGTGAATTTTTGTTGTTCTGTGATGATGAATTTGGGGAAACATTTTTCTACAAGCTAAATTGCGTATGGTTTCTCGTGTCTAGGGTTATTTTAAGTGGCAAGGTCATGATATTTATTAAATCATATATTATTTTTTTTGAAAAAATCTCTGGCCTACTAGAAATAGTGGGTATTTTTTTCTGTATGGATTCAAATGTTTCTGGTTGTGATTATTTACATGTACTATGGAGAAAATAGGTCAGTGTGCATCTTTTTTTTTTTCTTTTTTTTTTTTAAATGTTATTAGGTTTAGATTATTGTTGATGAAGGGAATGGTTAAATTATAAAATGGTGGGTTAGGCATGGTACCAAATTGGGTTTTTTATAAAACTTCTGGAAGAAGCGTTGAGACCTTAGGAGCAATAGTTTGTATATTCATTCTCTCTGGTTCTCCTATCCTTCGTGAGAAAACAGTGTGGAGTAGAAGTTTGAGTGGAATGATCAAATAATTACAAAAGGGGATATAATTAAGAGAATTATGGAGAAGATGGAGTCCAGTGAGCCGAAAAAGAGATTTGCGGCTTGTGGGGGAATGGAGATTACGGAAGATTAGGTTTAGGGAGCTGGAGTCTCAGTGGAGGCCTGTCCTGTTGTTGTGTGTGCCTTTGAGAATTATGCGTTAAAGCCATTGCTGTGGTGGGCCCATACCTCTCTAAATGTTATTGTCTTTCTAACTTCAATTACTAATATTATGAGTTTCAGCTCATAAATTAATAATTCTCTTGTCACAGATAATGGTCGCATTTATGCTACTGGTCTTAATGATTTTGGACAGCTCGGCATATTAGAAAATATAAGTTATTCTTTGGTATTATATTTCTAACTCCTTTTTTTTTCCATGAAGAGAGTGTCTATGTTGGACTGCTGATTCTAGATTGTTCACTTACTCATTCTCTTATTATCTTATTATTATTAACTGGTTGTGCACATCTCAACTGGTGTATTATCACTCTGCAGCCATTACAGGTGAGAGAACTGATGATGTTCAAAGAAATAATGTGGTAAATGCTAGAAATAATTTAATTCTTTATGTTCCTCATTTTCACATTAAGGCTTCTTGGACAAAGATTACACTATCAATAATTCTAAGCGGTATGAGACTGCGACATATGAGGTATCTCTAAAACCTGATTGTCATGAGAGGGCTTCCATGAGAATGGATTGAGATAACACTTGGTACTGAATCTAAAGCCAAGCGCGATCCATATTCACATTGATAAGTTGATATATAGTTTCACATGAAGGATACTATGGGGTAAATTTTATAAAAAACTGGTACTAAGTGAAATGTCAATATGCCAGAGTTTATCATTGGAAAGAGCGATGTTGTATTGTAGTGCCATGAGCATACTAAATATGAAATGTTTGAACAACTTCTTCCTAATTAAGTTGGTATGTTAAGTGATAAACTAATAAGAGCACTTTTAGACTCAAGACTTGACTATGAGTAAATGAATCTACTGTGCATGTGGAAGTCAAGAGATTGTGTCAGTGATTTTCTTTGTCATGTAGGTATGGACAATTTTTTTATGTGACTAAGTTAGGCATGACAGAAATATATGTTACCTATTGAAGAGAAATAATAAGATTCAAAATAGATTATATTGTTGTCAATGTGATTTAAGAGTATCTCGGTAAGTCTATTTATATTAGTAAATCTACAAGGCTATTGTAAGTTTGGCAGCATAAACTTCATTTTTTCTATATCTCTCTCCTATAATATGCATCCTCAAGGGGAGCCTAGTCTAGATAGCTTAATTAATGTATATACAATATCTTGTTAATTGGTGATGTTGAAGTTCTACTTCTATAATTTGTCACACATGTAGCGATTGATTTGTAACATTTTGGAATGAGTATGTGGATAACACCAGTAAAACTTGTGTGATGTGATAGCAAGATTAGTCAACAAATTCTTTTATTCATGAATTGTGTATGACTAGTATTTTGTTCGGATACAAATAAAGAATCCTTTTTTTTAATCTACTTCTGAGTTTTCTTGTTTATTTTTGCAATTTCTTCTCTTTCTGTAGCTTTTTTCTTCTTGAGTTGGAAATTTATTCTAAAATTTATAGAATGTGAACATTTAATTCAACTAAAATTTCAAGTATGTTCACATGCATTGGTTGTTAGGTTCGGTATTGCACAACCAATTTGTACATACTTGAAATTTTAGTAATGTCCAAGAATCATAACTTGGCCACAAGTGGTGGAAATTGTGGTCCTTGAGATATTGAGGTGATCATTATTATTCTATGGGGGAGAAACTTCCTCATTTCACTCGTCTTCTTTTGTTTTTTTCTTTGCCCAACTCTGACAAGGATTTTTTATTTAACAAATTTTCTTTCTTGGGACTGATACCTTTTTGGTCTAAGTCAATGCAGATTCCGCATCCCAATATTGATTTTTGGTTTCTTCATTTTGGAATTCTCACTCAATCCAAGGCGGTCCTATGTTTGTTTTTAGAAGAAAGCTTAAAGGGCTGAAAGCATTCTTTAATGATTGAAACTTGAATCACTTTGGTAATGTTGAGACAACAATAATTTACTTGATTTCCTATTGCTTTTGATCCATGTTTTGGTTTTTACTGCCTGTAATTTTTCATTCTCAAGACTCTATTACCTTCTTAGCTCTATGTCAATGATTCAGCACCCTGGTTTGATGTTTGATTTCTTCATTTTGTAGTTCTTAATCAATCCATGGCTTTCCAATGTTTGTTTTTACAAAAAAGTGTATGGGCTCAAAAGGTTTTCCTTGATGATTGGCACTTGAATAATATTGGTTATGCTNTTTTAATTCTGGAAACTTAAAAGGTTTACAATGTGAATGCAATTATTATAGACTAGAGTGGATAATTCATAGTGAATAAAGATGAGAAAAGAAAAATAGTTTTAGTAACTCTTTTATTTTGCCAGATGGTTTTTTGTTTAATAAACATTGGTTTCTGGTGTAACTTTTTCAATTCAACAGGGTTTAACCAATTTTAGCAAATTTCTTGGAGAATTTGGCCTTAGTGTGTTCTCATACCTTGTTATCCTAACTGGTTGTTTAACCATAGTTTTTACTTTCATCTAGTTAATGGACACATCGAAGTTTTGTTTTGAATTGGCTCATCTTCTTGGGCAGCCTTTCAAATATTGTATCAGGGACTGCAGTAACTGTTTGAATGTGCAGCCAGTCTTGGTTCAAAAAGGAAACGCATGGTGACCATGTCTCTTTTTAGCTAAAATGACCATATAATCAGGGTGCAAGGGAGGGCTCGATACTACTCTTTGCATGACAGATTTTAGCAAAACGTTGAGATATCAAATAGGTATGCTATACCCATCGGTTCTTTATCCACTAATTTTTTTCCTTCATTATGATAATACAATCTTTTAGCGCTTCGAATTGAAAAATTCAACTGTTTTATCGTTTATAGATGTGAGTAACTTGAGCAGAGACGTTTACCACATCTACCGAAGGTGCTATTTCTTGTGGTTTACATTTTTTTCTATATCTCTCTCCTATAGTATGCATCCTCAAAGGGAGCCTAGTCTAGATAGCTTACAGTTGAAATCAAATACCTTTCATAACAACCTTGCATGGGGAAGGTTAGGGCATGATCCATGGTTAAAAGAATATATGCTAGTGTATATACATGTCTATGATGTCCTTGTACATTCCTAATCTTTTCTAATATATTTACTGAAGCATTCTATTGCTTTTTTTATTTTTTATTTTTTTGTTTTTTGGTAGTGGATGGGGAGCTCTACATTTGGGGAAAGAACTCCAATGGACAGCTTGGTCTTGGAAAAAGTAACAACTGAACCTCAACGTAATGTTATATGTTTCTATGTCTGCTGTCATTTTATGTATTTTTCTATTGAGAATGTTTTACTTACTGTAGCATTAGTTTTCTAGACAGTGAAGAAATGACGTTCTAACTTATTCTCAAACTGATACTATATGGTACTGAATACGATATGCAGAAGCGGCAAAAGTAGTTCCTGCTCTGACAAAAATAGAGTGCTTGAGTGGAATCTGCATAAAACTTGTAAAACTTGCAGCCTTGGGTTCTGAGCACTCAGTTGCTGTTACAGGTTGGAACTGAAAAGACATTCTATGTTTGATGCTAGTTAGTTGCTGCTTTTATTAATTAAAAAATGCTAGGGTGTAAACTTTGTTTGGCCTTGATTGTTTATATTTTGATCCAGATGGAGAGGTTTTAAGTTGGGGAGGAGGAGGGTCCGGAAGACTTGGTGATGGCTATGAATCAAGCATTTTAGGGTTCTTAAGCAGCTCCAGGTTCATTTGTTGATTTTATAATCTTTAGTGGTTTAAAGTGAAAAAGAAAATTTTTCGCTTATTTTTATTTGCAAAATTAGAACTTTTCACAATTCCACTGCTTGAAAATCTGACGATCTGTTTCTCTTAATTAAAGTACATACAATATCTTGTTAATTGGTGATGTTNGCCTTCATTTTCTTTTTCCAACTGCCGAAGTCGATCTTCCCATCATATTGGGATATCTCCATTCGGGTGGTGCTCATTTTCCTGTAATGACAAAGAAAGAAACACAAAGAAAAGAAAGTCTAAGGCGTACTTGGCGTTGTTACACAAGAAGTTGCCAATTACTGCCAGACAGTTTTTAAGGCGGTCACTGGTATTCCAGCCGATATACCCTTACACTTTATCAAGATTTGACTCTCTAGAACCAATTCTAGACTCAAGAAAATAATCGAATCAAAAAACCCCCAATTTCCGAAACCCTAATTTTGTGAAACCCTAATTTCTGTTTCTTTAACAAAAATTCCCAAATTCACAAAACCCTAATTTCGTAAGAGAAAGATTTACTCTCTAGGACTTAATTTCGAGACTCCCAAGGAAAACCCCAATTTTTCAGAAAGGAGCCCTAATTTAAGAAACCCTAATTTTGCAGAACACGAACTTCACTTTTAAGAAAATGGCTCTGATACCACTGTTATACTTTAATAGCAAAAACTGATCTAACAACGCACCACAATCAAACCAAGAAACACAAGAATACCACAAAGATCAAACACACAGAACAAGCCACGATTTACCGTGGTTCACTTATCCTTTTATGGATAAGCTACATCCAAGTTGAGCTCAAGAACGGTATGAGCTCGCTGCACTTCGATTACCAGAAAACCATCAAGATTACACAGATTCAACACTCACCAGATCTACCCGTTTACAACAGCAATCAGCCTTATAAGATACCCTCTGAATATCCCAAACCCGAGAGAACAACACTCTCACCTGAATGATTAAAGCCCCTAATCACTCGACTGATACTCACAATCTAGAATGTAGAATCTCAACCCTAACACAGAGAAAAATAACCGACTCAAATAACCCTAGCCACTGTCGTTTTCTCTCTCTATCAAAACTGAATGAACATACGCTTATATATGGTTTGACTCTGTGAGTGATCCTGGCCGTTCAATCTGAAACGCATCCTGTGGTCTGAATTTTTCCCAAGTTAATATGCCTAAAACGACGTCGTATTAGTGTTACTTAAACGACGCTGTTTCAGGCTTCCATATTTAACATCTAACATAACTTATTCTCAAACTGATACTATATGGTACTGAATACGATATGCAGAAGCGGCATAAGTAGTTCCTGTTCTGACGAAAATAGAGTGCTTGAGTGGTATCTGCATAAAACTTGCAGCTTTGGGTTCTGAGCACTCAGTTGCTGTTACTGGTTGGAACTGAAAAGACAGATTCTATGTTTGATGCTAGTTAGTTGCCGATTTTGTTAATTAAAAAATGCTAAGGTGTAAACTTTGTTTGGCCTTGATTGTTTATATTTTGATCCAGATGAAGGAGAGGTTTTAAGTTGGGGAGGAGGAGGGTCTAGAAGACTTGGTCATGGCCATGAATCAAGCATTTTCGGGTTCTTAAGAAGCTCCAGGTTCATTTGTTGATTTTATAATCTTTAGCGGTTTAACTTGAAAAAGAAAATTTTTCGTTTATTTTTATTTGCAAAATTAGAACTTTTCACATTTCCACTGCTTGAAAATCTGTCAATCTGTTTCTCTTAATTAAAGTACATACAATATCTTGTTAATTGGTGATGTTGAAGTTGTACTTCTATAATTTGTCACACATGTTGCGGTTGATTTGTGATATTTTGGAATGAGTATGTGGATAACACCAGTAAAACTTGTATGATGTGATAGCAAAGATTAGTCAACAAATTCTTTTATTCATGAATTGTGCATGACTAGTATTTTGTTTGGATACAAATAAAGAGTCCTTTTTTTTAATCTGCTTCTGAGTTTTCTTGTTTATTGTTACATTTATCATTTTATCATTTTATTTTTCTGGTATTTATTAGTGTGTATCACAATCTGGCTACCGAGGCGAGTTAGTAAAAATTTGGAAAGAACAATGAACTCTAGCTATGATATCAACTTAATGCAACCATAGACAGGGACCTCTTGAAGTTTCACTTCACATCTATTATGTAACTTTATTATGTTTAAGGTTAATGGAATCTTAAGTCTCCAGGAAATTTCAGGGTGGAAGTTTTATTTTTTGAATGAGATATAAGCTACTAGGTGGAAAATCTCGTCTTCCTAGAGACAGCATTTTACTTCATTTGTCTTCTCTACTTATTTCCTCCGTGGATGGACAGGACTCTTTGTTCCCTTTTAGTTATGAATTAATAGATACTTTTTGCACAGTGAATACACACCAAGACTTATCAAGGAACTTGAGAAAGTCAAGGTATTTTATTTGTGTTGATTCAACTGGTGATTGATGTTGTCAGCACTGAAATGAATGTGTCATTTATTATGGCCTTTTGACCTCATCGCAGGGTCAAAAATGCACCTTTTGACCTCATCGCAGGGTCAAAAAAGCGGCTGCTGGGCTTCTGCATTCGACATGCATTGATGGTATTTCATCAACTTTTCTTGTGCCTAATCTTCTCCATGATGTCTCTTATCTGACTAAGGTTAAACAATCATGACTTCTGAAATTCCAGGAAAGGGCTGTGTCTTTATTTTTGTTGAGAAAGCAGCAGATAAGATGGTGAGTTCTAGAATTTGTAATTTGATAGGTTTTGGCAACCACAGTTCAGGTCAATTGTGTAGGCTCTTCTTGTAGCGTTTATTTACCTTGTCAAATGATAATATTATTAATGAAATGAATGTAGGTCTTTCAAAACAGAAAAAATGCAACAACGCCATCCATGAATAGCAAGCTACCATATTCAGATGAAGTTGCATGTGGTGGTTATCACACGTGTGTTGTGACAAGTTCTTATATCGATTTTCTCCTCCTTTCTTTTATTTTAAAGTTCTTTCATATATGTAAGAGGGATTTTCTGAGAATATCTAATCCTTAGACCATTGTGATTTTTCATCATGATTTCTTGCTAGATTGTTCATCACGTGATTTGCACAACAAGAAATCGCAAGTCTCTTGACAGTGTGGGTTTTTTTTTTTTTTTTTTTTTTTTTTTTTTACTCTCAAGAATCAGTTTCTTGAGGGAGAAACAAGTATAACATCTCATGTGGACAAAGAGAATGATTTTAGCTGTAAATGAGTTATTTCTTTATTCAAATTTGCACTTCTTAAAGTAAATATACTATTGTTTATTGTATATGTTTGTCATGAGATTTTCTCATCCTATTTTTTGTCCTGTATTGGTGGAGTCTTGCCCAATTGGACTTGAGCATGTTGGAAAGGAGGAGTCTAATTGAAATGCTTGGTTCAAGGTTTACTATATTGTTCAAGAAATACTGGTTAATGCTAATTGGTGGTGTATGGTCTGATGTATTACTTCTACTTGGTGCAAGTTTTAATTTTAATTTGCTTCTTATTCAGGTTGTTTCATAATGGGGTTGGCAGTTTTAGTGTGGAAGTAAAAATTTTGCAGTAGTCTCGCTATCTTTCTTTTTATTTTATTTTTTATTATACTTCTCCAATTTCTTAATGAGCTAAGTCTGAGTTTTAGGGAACTTTCAAAGTTCGTGACGAATATGGATAACCATGCAGCACCCAACTTGATTGATCTTTGATGATTATTTGTTTATTGTATATGTTTGTCATGAGATTTTCTCATCCTATTTTTTGTCCTGTATTGGTGGAGTCTTGCGCACTTGGACTTGAGCATGTCGAAAAGGAGGAATCTAATTGAAATGCTTGGTTCAAGGTTTACTACATTGTTCAAGAAATACTGGTTAGTGCTAATTGGTGGTGTATGGTCTGATGTATTACTTCTACTTGGAGCAAGTTTTAAGTTTAATTTGCTTCTTATTTAGGTTGTGTCATAATGGGGTTGGCAGTTTTAGTGTGGAAGTAAGTAAAAATTCTGCAGTAGTCTCACTACCTTTCTTTTTATTTTATTTTTTATTTTACTTCTCCAATTTCGTAATGAGCTAAGCCTGAGTTTTATTTTTTCAGGAACTTCCAAAGTTCTTGACGAATATGGATAACCTTGCACCCAACTTGATTGATCTTTGATGATTATTTGTTTCCAATGGTTTATGACTCATTGTTCGGTGCTGATAATTAACTATTTTTAATTGAAGCTTTGAATGATTTAAACATTCCCACTTTTATAATGTTTGTCATCTTTGTAATCACGTGTTAGTAATATGTACCCAGGTCAACACTTAATCAATAAATTTCAGCCAGGTCCCAGTTTGTTATAGCTCAATTCTCTTTGATTTATTTCTATGTGAATCATATTATAATGGTGAACATTTTGTTATTACTATGGCATACAGTTGTTGAACTATTTTTGTATATTTAGTTGCTATGAAAGCTTAAAGGGTATGTCAGTTTAATATATAGGTTTTTATCCATGAAGAATGTTCTCTATGCTTGATATTGGAATATATTGGATGGTTGAGTATAAAATCTTTGAATTATTTGGCTGCCTAATGAATTCCTATTCTTGATCCATTGAGGTTTATATTAGAGCATCGTCAGAACTCAGAGGTGCGACCATTTCTATTAGGCAGGTCAAGGCTTCATGTGTTGGCCATTTACTTATCATTTTCTTTTTACTTACACAAGGAGACCCTTTTACTTAGCCTTTTCTTTTTACTGCCAAAAAATTTTCTTTCTCAGGATTGCTGTATTTTAGGTATGAGTCAATGTGGATTCAACACCCCAATTGTGATATTTGGTTTCTTCATTTTAGTATTCTCACTCGATCCATGGTGGTCTATGTTTGTTTTTAGAAGAAAGCTTAAAGGGCTCAAAGCTTTCCTTAATGATTGGAAATTGGGTAACTTTGGTGATGTTCAGATAGCTATAGGTGCGTTTGGTTTATTATTTTGGATAGGATTTTGGGAATAATATTGGGTAATTGAATGGGGGAGTATTACGAGGTAAAATTTAAAAATTTATAAAAAAGCTCCTAGGGTTTACTAATTTAATTAAATACCCCAACATATAAAATGACAAAAATACCCCCACCACTTGTAGTGCTAGATTGCGGCCACCATCGTCGGAATCTGGTCGGAAAATTGCGTTACGACACAGACCAGTCGGATCTGTGTCATAACACGTCGTTATGGCATTTTTCGACCAGATCTGTGGTGGATCTGGCCGGAAAATGCCAGATCTACAGCTTGTTGTGGCCGTCGATGGCTGAAAAAGGCTAAAACGATGGCTAGATCTGGTCTTTTCTAGCCAAATCCACTGTAAATCTGGCCAGAAAAGGCCAGATCAGTGAACTACAGGCCAGTGGCCGTCGTGGTATAGGCCATTGTACAGATTCCGGCTATCACCAACGGTGGTTGTCGGAATCTGGCAAGTATGGGTTGATATGGGTGTTTTTGTTAGTTTTTAAACTTTTTTGGAGGGGTATTTAATGAAATTAATAAACTTAAGGGGTCTAAAAGTAATTAAAAAATATAGTAATATTTATGGAATAATGTGCCAAATAATATTTGGAGAATAGGATTGGGAATATGGGTAGAAATATTAAATCAAATGCATCCTATGATTCTGCTTTATTTCTTTTTTCCAAATTTTCTATTATTTCAATTCCATGTCTTACATTTTGCTGCCAACAATTTTTCATTCTCAGTATTGTTACCTTTTCAGTTTACGTCAAAGTGAATTCAGCACCCCTGGTATGGTTGGTGTCTTCATTTTGAAGTTCTCACTCAATCCATGGCTTTCCAATGTCTTTTTTTTTTTTTTTTTTTTTTTTTTTTTTTTTTTTTAACAAAGTGCCAAGGACTTAAGGCTTTCCTTATTGTTTGGAACTTGAATCATATTAATTATGTTTAAAAAAATCAATGAATTGTTATATCTCATACTTCCAGATTTCTATTATTTCAGACCCATGTTTTTCTTGTTACTGCCAGCTATTTTTCTTTATCAAGACTGCTACCTTTTAGGTCTCGGTCAACGTGGATTCAATACCCCGATTTTGATCTGTGGTTTCTTCATTTTGGAGTTCTCACTTGAACTATGGTTGTTTAGTGTCAAAGCTTAAAAGGCTCAAAGCTATTTTTAATGATTGGAACTTTGATTATTAAAGCAATGAAATGCTATGTTTGATACTTGTATTTATTTTATTTCAAATCCCTGTTTTTCTTGTTGGGAAAAATGCTCTATTTGTTAAAGAGAAAAGGTTTTTATATAGTTTCTTCGTGATTAGAGTTTGCTTTTTGGTGAGGATTCAATTTTTAAATATTTTGTTAATTTAAAATCCATTTAATCTTTGTTGTAGTTTCCATGAAATAGGGAATGGAGATATACAACAATGTCATGGTGGTGGAAATGTTGGAAATAGTAAATAGTTTAGGCTTTGTTTGGTTCACTATTCTGATGTTTTTTAGAATAGTATTTTGGAAAAAGTAAAATTGAGTTGGGTTGAGTTGAGTTATTTTTACGAGAAATGTAATTATTGATGTTTTGAGTTGAATAAAATAGAATGAGATTTTGAGAATATTAAAACAAATACATTTTTGGGTGTTTGAATAGAATAGTGGAATAGGATCGGGTAAAAATAGTGAATTAAAGGAGCCCATATATTTTGAATTTGTATTAGTTGTCTAATTTTGACTAATTAACTATTTAGATATTTTTTGTCAACTCTAGTAAAGTGTAATGTTGAGTTGAGATTTTTGCTATATCTATTGAAGATCATGTTTGTTATAGCTTTAATGAAATTGGCTATGGGAATATAAAGAACAATATCACAGTTGGTCTCAAATCTAGAAATGATGATGTACCTCTTTATGTGAGGGCAGAATATTGACAATATCTTCTTGTTATTCCTCTTGTAGGCATCTAAGCATCTAGGCAGAATAGTGGGAGTTGCTTGAAAAAGCCAACAACTTTAAAGTCCCTACTGCAATATGGTAGGAAAAAATTATAATATGGGTTTTAAATTGTTTTATTTTCAATTTTTGTACCCTCAGCTTGCTTTCTTAGATTTTCTACTCTGAAATTTAAGTTTATGCTAGAATTTATAATTTTGTTCTTCAACTTGCTTTACTTGTTATATATAGCACTTCATAAAGGCATCTGGGCAATGAGAGAACTCATTTGAAGTTTTTTACTGTATATTGTGGTAAGGATAATAGTGGGAATTTGCTTGAAAAAACCAGTAGCTTTAAAGTCCTAACTGCAATATGGTTGGAAAAACTTTGTACTATGGGGTTTTAATTGTTCCATTTTCAGTTTCTGTTTTGTTCTTTAACTTGCTTTATTTATTATATATCGCTTCATAAAGGCATCTAGGCAATGGGAGAACTCATTTGAAGTTTTTTACTGAATATTGTGGTAAGGATAATAGTGGGAGTTGCTTGAAAAAGCCAGTGGTTTTAAAGTCCTATTGCAATATGGTACGAAAAAAATTGTACCAATGGGTTTTTTAATTGTTCCATTTTCATTTTCTGTACCCTTGGCCTGCTTTCTTAGATTTTCTAGTTTGGAATTTAAGTTTTTGCTAGAATTCATAATTTTGTTCTTCAACTTGCTTTATTTATTATATATTACTTCATAAACCTAAGTGAGTTTGCTTCACTGTTTGAATTCTCTATATAAAAGGGGCAGGTTGTAGAGAAATTATGTGAATGACTAAACACTATTTACCTCAAGTTTTATTATCTTGATAGAGAAATGAGTTGTAGTGAATCGTACAACGAGCAACAACAATCTAGAAATTAATTTGATTTTTTTCTTTTTGTGCACAGTTGTGTAGTGGCATGAAAATTGGGATAAAATATTTTTTTTTTTTTTTGACTTCTTTGTTAGACAAAAGATTAATTTCTTTTTCTGGTTATTGGACTTTTTTTATTTATTGAAATCATATCTACTTTTAGTTATTAGGTCTTTTGTCTTTTCGCAGTAATTGTTGGTCATTTTATAAGTTTAATTGCTAGTTGATTTCTTGATTTTTTATCAGTTCTTGAAAAGATTATATTCTTGTTAAATGATGCTTCCAATGCTCTCCATGCAT